TGGGAGCATGCAGGGAGATTTGTAACTCGAACCTGATCATCACCGTAGTCCGTGTCATAGCCATCCGCTTGTGTGCGTGAGAGAGAGAGAGGAACGGGGGGGGGAGGGGGAGCGGAGTGGGAGAGAGAGAGAGGGAGACAAGGCGGGCAGCATGCAGCAGATGTGTAAGTCGAACCTCCTCATCGCCGTAGTCCGTGTCGTAGCCATCCGCTTCCTCCTTTCCTTTTCCGCGGTCATCTTTCTTGCTCGAGGTTGTTTTGCTCGAGCTCATTTTCGCAGGGACAGACTTTGCGCACCCTATTTTGGCTGATTGGATCGAACCCCTGTCGCTATCCTATGATGAGATTAATGCCCGCGTGCGCGAGCGTCGGCAAACTGCCGTCGACGCCGCCGACTGTCTTAACACAGACATGCACAGGACGCCTGCTTGGGCCCCTTCACCCCTCCCCCCCCTCTCTCTGTCTCCCTCTTCTCTCTCCCTCTGCCCTTCCCTAGTTGATCTCACGCGACAGACATGGACTGTCCACCAACTCCAAGCCTTCCTCAGCGCAGCTCGCCACGGGGCAAGAACGGGCGTCACGTGCGGACCTGGCCCAGATGATAATTTAATTGCTCAGCCTGTTAGCTCGACTCTGGGCGATCGTGTCGCCGCACCCCTCTCTCGCTCTCTCTCTCCCTCCTCCCAACCCCCCCCCCCCCCCCTAAATTACTCACTGTGAGAAGTGAAGACTTATTGAACCACAAGCTGATCACAAGCTGATCTCCGCCGCTGAAGATCATTCATTTACTCGAAAAGTTTTTTTCTGACGAGCGCACACACCACTGAGACTCCTACGAAAAGATAATAAGAACAAGCGGTCCCGACGGGGCCAAGCCGCGGCCCAGTGCCAACCCCAGCCTTGGCACGGGCATGGCACCATGCCGGCCGCGCGGTATTATAAAGGCCTGCATGATGCCATCCGTTTTGGATGGCACCACGGACCGGGCGGCATCACGCGGCACAGGCCGTGCCATATGGACTGGATGGTACTAGGGTCTGATCCCATCATTTTTTTATTTTTTTAATTTTCGAAAAGATCCCATAATGAAAAAGATCTGAAACGTAACGTAACAGTTGGGGCCTTGGCATGTGCCGCGTGAATGTTTTTGGCATCCCGGGGCAAGGTCCCACTTGCGCAAATTAGGAGATTTCGGCCGTTGATCTTTCCAATCTACGGTCAGTATCTCTTAATTCGTGCAAGTGGGACCTAGCCCCCGTAAGGCCGACGCCGTTGGCGCTTTTCTTCTTTTTTTTCCATTCATCTCTCAATTTTGTTTTATTTTTTTTTATTTTTTTATTTTTTTCATCTCTCAATTTCACCTTTCACAATCTGCCTACCACTGCCTTGCTGTATTTTGTGCTGCTGGGTCTGTCAGAGCTAACCCCCCAGCAAAGCCGACTGGATTTACCTCGCGGGAGCTCCACTTTTTCAGAAGATCGGAAGCTGGCACGTACCTCCCGTGACTGGGTAGCTATCATGGGCCTCGCTGCACCACTCTAGACTCGAGCTTTTTCTTGAGTGCGGCATGGCTGCACTTACTCAAGAAATGGGTGCTCGAAAACTTGTTCTAGAGCTGTTAGAAAGACTCCAGAAAACGAATAGAGTGGTCATCACTCCACTTACTCGCAAAGGTTTTTTTTTTCAAGGGAGATCCAGAGGACCCTTGAAACACCTTGGTTTTCCTTCCTTGGTCTTCCTTGAGTGGGCCTTGAGTCTGGGCGGATAACCCAAGCTGGCGCTGTCCTGCAGTGAAATGGCCGAACTCAGAAAGTGACGGAGCGACTCTAGCTTTTCTAGAGTCTAGAGCTAGTGCAGCGATGCCTAGATTTTAGGGCTTTTCGTTACTCTGACAGCTCTAGAACAACTCTTGAAAATTTTCACGAGTCTAGAGTAGTGCAGCGAGGCCCCATGTCTGAAACTTTGCCCGGAAGTGCCCAAAGTTGAGGTTTTGACATGATGTTATGCAAGCCTGGAGGAAATGTAGACCCAAGATTGTTTTACCGCCGACATCGAAAGAGGAAATGTTCGCAGCTCGTCAAGGTTGCGTTTTATGCCCCTGAGACCTTTCAACGTTCATTCAAATTTCAACGTCGACGGGAGGGTGGACATTTTTTAGGTTTAGGGCCTAGCAGGGCCTAGCTAGGGGTGGGACCGCGTAGGACCGCTATTCGGTCGTTCGTGTGAAAATGTGAAAAACAATGAAAAGGCACTGGAGGCAGGCAGGCAGCAGTAGTGGCAGTATAGTTGTGGTCGAAACACATCTGTCCCACACGCTTGGCGCAGGTCCAAACGACGCATTTTCAGCGGGAGACTCTCTCTCTCTCTCTCTCTCTCTCTCTCTCTCTCTCTCTCTCTCTCTCTCTCTCTCTCTCTCTCTCTCTCTCTC